GTCGTTGCTTAGAGGAAGCACTCTAGGAATGGATATGCAATGGACACTATTACGGTGTGGCGTCTGTCGATAACAAGATCAAAAGATTCAAAAGAGCTCTTCAGTGCAAAGTAGGATGTGGTAGTCTCCATCTCCAAGTGGTTCTAGTAGGATCTAATTTTGGATCAAGGATGATCTATTCGTGGAATTTCACTGGAATTAAGAGTCAATTCCAATAGACAGCGTCATTGTTCCATCATGGAATCAAAATTTGTGTTAATTGATAATGTATAAATCTGGAATTGGTGTTGTTGATCTCCCTTCATACCGAGAAGAGTATAATAAAAAATGGAGATCAAAAAATATACCTTAGTACATTCTCACGTGTGCTAACTATATACGTTGGATGATCTTAATTGGGATTTTGAATGAATTGTCCCCAATATTAGGCCTTCGGATGACCCAGGTACATTCTTACTTTCCACATTTCACTATACCCCTTTTTGAACTCATTCACTAACTTAGGCGTTAGAGTACTAACCTTGCAGATCCACCTTCCGTGATCCACTGCACCAGAGGCTTGCAACACCTCATCAGGAGTCCAATGTCATAATTAAAGTATAATTTTGGTTCCGTTTGGAATATATATAATACTCATATCCAATAACATCTTTGGCAAATTTCAGAACATCATAATATCATTATTCAAGTGTTTAAGACCACAAGAAACGCTAAACTTAATGTTCTTATAACCCTCCTTTTAATCATGCATTCTAAATTCATATATGACATACAATCAATATTTCAATTCTAATTCATGTCAGATACATTCCCATTAACATATAATTTAACATGTTCCTCAACTAACTTCCCCTTATGGTGTATCTTTAATATAATATTGTGATTTTTAGTTGCCCTGGAAAAATCGAACAGTAAATCGAATAAAATAAGATATTGGGACCACAACACAATACATAGACAAGAAAACAACTGAGACCACAAGAAAACATAAAAAACTATGGTCTGCCGCATACCAACTAGGCAAGAAAATAGGTGGGACCACCTAATAAACTTACCACAACGATGAAAAAATGCATACATGATACAATACTTGACTTCTTCATTACTATCTCATAGAAAATGTGCTTTTGTCATTTTCGAAAGATATTGTACTTTATTGTGCTTCTAATACTAAAGGTGGTCAAAACCCAAAAAAACGAAGATTGCATGATGGTGGTTAAGCTTCTGTTGAGGGAGAAAGGGTTAAGGGTCCATACAAAAGGATAGAAGATAACACGACTTTTGATTGAAAATATTAAATCCTAATAATATAATAAATTTAATGATTAAATAATTAGTATTTTAAATATATTTTTTCAATTTATTTAAAATAAAATAGTCAATATTGTTTACTTGGCGTTAGAGTGGTCGTGTGACGTGTTAAATTATGATGTTACATGTGCAAAAGTAGGGAGAGATAAAAAGTATCAAAAATTATGAAATAGAGACCAAAAAAAACTAAATTTAAAATAAAGAAATAAAAAATTAAGGGTTAATACTCATTTTGCCCTCTATCATATGGGGCGAATCCGAAAAACGTCCATGTAAAATAAAGTTTAAAATACCCCTCTATCATATGAAAATTCCTCTATTTTGTCCCCTTAAAAAATTTAATCATAAAAATTAATAATACGGTAGAGGGAGTTTTCCAAAAAACGCCAATTTGGCAAAGGATTTTTTCGAAAATCGCCAATTTGACAGAGGCAAATTATGTATAAATCTTAAAAATATTGGGTAAATTACATGAAATTTAATAGATTATTGATGGATAAGTTTCTTGAGGGAGCAAAACAGAAGAATCTTCAAATGACAAGAGGTATTTTAAATTTTCTTTTGCAGGGGCGTCTTTTAGAATCGTACCATATAGTAGGGGGAAAATGAGTATTAACCCAAAAATTAATACCAAAAAAATAGGAGAACGAAAATGTATATAAACCTTGAATTAAAGCAATTGAACATTAGTGAGTTTGAATTGACGGTGGACAGAATTGATTCTAGCATAATTGAATTTGATAAAATTGATTTTATCATAATTGAGTTTATTATAATTGATTTATGTTTGATACATTTATGTAAAAGTGAATTGAACAATACATTTCAGTGTAAAAATCATCCTGAATCAATTCTAGAATCAGAAGCTATAAATTCTAGTTTCAAATAAAATCTAGAAATAGAATCAATTCTACTTTTGTTTAACTAAATATCTCAAAATCAATGAGAACTAATTCTACACCTTTAAAATTGTTTTTAACTCTTTGAAAAATCAAACCAAACATGCAAGACTTTTATTAAGCCTTAATCCTTTCACAATATATTAGATAACTATTAAAAAATAAAATGTAAAACCAACTCATTGTCAGTTTTACCCATAAATATCTACTAGCCGATAAATTTACCATCCCTAAATAACATGGATTATAATTAAGAAATATACTTTCAAAAAATGTTTATCATCTTTAAGTTGGAACAGAAAGCAACCTAGATTTTTTTTTTATTTTGTGTCAAGTAATTTGTATTTTAGTGTTATCTACAAACATTATTAGATATAATATGCAACTTTATCTATCAAACACAATAACAACAACAACAAAGTTGTAATATATGTATTAAAAGGTAGATTATTTTAAAAATAGTATAAACGTTTTAACAACATTTTCCAAACACTAATATTCATCTCCAAAGAGCTTCTCACTCTGCATCACTCATTCTCCTTCCCCCTCTCTCTCTCTCTTTCAACCCTTCTCCTTCTTCCCCCAAAACCAATACGCATTTCCTCATTTCACCATTTTTTCCTCCCACATAACAAAAAATCTATCTTTACCAATCAAAGTTCCAAATTTTCCATCTCTAGCAAAAATAACAAAAAAAAGAAAACGTCAATAATAGTTAGTTACAATGAGGGTACCATTAACTGGACAACTATTCGGGGTGTGTTTGATAAGTTTATGGTATGCATCAAACATTGGAGTATTGTTATTAAACAAGTACCTTTTAAGCAACTACGGTTTCAAGTATCCAATATTTTTGACACTATGTCACATGATGGCATGTTCCATCCTAAGTTACATTGCTATGTCATGGATGAAGGTTGTTCCAATGCAAACGGTGAGATCTAAGGTTCAATTTATGAAGATATCATCGCTTGGACTTATATTTTGTTTGTCTGTGGTTGGAGGGAATATTTCCCTAAGGTATCTTCCTGTGTCTTTTAATCAAGCTATAGGTTCTACGACGCCTTTTTTTACAGCGATTTTCGCTTATCTTATGACTCTTAAGAAGGAGAGTTGGCTTACTTACATGGCTCTTGTTCCTGTTATAACTGGTGTTATGATTGCTAGTGGGGTATGTCCTTTGTCTTATATCAAACATTGATGACTTGCGTTACAAGAAAAGTATATTTTTCTGATTAGTTATTATTTTGTAGGGAGAACCAAGTTTTCATCTATTTGGATTTATAATGTGCATCAGTGCTACAGCAGCAAGAGCACTCAAATCAGTGCTTCAAGGGGTCTTGCTTTCTTCTGATGCGTAATGAACTCGACTTTCTGATTACATTGTATTTCAATATTGATTGTTTCTCCTTTCGTGGTAATGAATTAGTGTCTTTGATTTTTTAGAGAAAAGTTGAATTCAATGAACCTTCTTATGTACATGGCACCAGTGGCTGTTGGATTTCTACTTCCTGCTTCAATTATAATGGAGGAAAATGTTCTTGGAATTACAATTCAACTTGCTAGAGAAGATTCAAGTATTGTGTGGTTACTTATCTTCAACTCAGCACTTGCATATTTGGTTAACTTGACCAACTTCTTAGTCACAAAGCACACCAGTGCATTAACACTTCAGGTAATCATGCAACAAAATTGTGTTATTTTATTTCCTATATACTGCATAAGTGTTGAGGTCATGGAAAGTCTCTGATATCTGCATAATAAGTGCTGAGACCCTGGAAAGTCTTTGATGTGTTTTAGGATATCAGAATGCTGTTTTTACTACAATAAATATACTGCTACAAGTAACTAAACATGATAGTGTACATCTTTGACATGAATGCATGATGACTTTTCCAGGTTCTAGGAAATGCAAAAGGGGCTGTGGCAGTTGTTATTTCCATTTTGATATTTAAAAATCCTGTATCAGTTACTGGAATGATGGGATATTCTCTAACAGTCATTGGCGTCGTCCTATATAGTGAAGCCAAGAAGAGAAGCAAAAGAGATATTTGATCCAAAGAATCAATACTGCTTCTAACCACTTCTTAACCCGCTCAAGCATCAACAGGGAATGTTTCCTCCCAATTTTTTACAGCTTGATCTTTGATTCATTGATAATCTTATTTAGACAATTCTTTCATCATGTGTTGAGGGAGCACTAACAATCAGGATTGTAAAAAATCATCATCTGGAGAAAATGTTGGAAGCTTAGATTTAGAATATGCTAAGGGTTTACTGACATACATTAGAATATCTGAACATTGACCTTAATTGTTCTAAATCTTGTACAGGATTGACCTATAATTTTACAAATGCTCTTATATTAAGATTTCACTGGAGGAAGAAGTTGTGATCCATATCATTAAAATACCACACGTGGTCAAGATTTCACTGCATGCATTTTTCAATGGAGAGAACCCATTCCCATTTTGTACATTACTTCACAACAAAGTGTCTCAGTTAAATATGGCTGACAGTATATAGACTTAGGTGAGGTAAGGTAATTAGACGATGTCTGCTTCAATCAAGTACACTGTTTGAAGCTGTTCAAAATAATGAATGCAACAAAATAAAAAAGACTGGTGTGAAAATAACCATTCATAGTTTAAACTTGTTCTAATAGAAAAATAGCTTGACAATGAAACCCTTACATTCTTTCAAATCCATAGTAATGTGTAAAAACATGACCTAAGATTGCCAGCACAACGGTAATTTGAACTAAACTTGCCAGCCCTACATTAATTAGAACTAAACTTGGGGTTTTGTTTCCTCTTCGTCCTCCTCTATTTTGGGAGCCAAATAGAATCGAACATAACCCATTTCAGCAATCTTGTACTCCACTACAACCGGCAGCTCATTTGACAGACTAATGGTAACTGAACTGGACAGAGGTGTTGCCTTCGTAAAAGAGTTCATGTATCTCAAGGCAAACTGCAAGGCAACAGGCTCATTCATCTCTATGACAGTAGCTTCTTCAGGCTGCAACATAGTCAGCAAATACAACCATGCACAAATGTAGATTAGCATCAACTTTACCAGTCACATGAATAACACATTTGACTATCAAACACATAAGTGTATTGTTGGAAAACAGGTAAAAAAACAAATCAATATCTCACCTTGTCCACAGTAGTATTCTGCCTGCAAACTATATTTGCACTTCCAATATCTCCTTTGGTGGAAAACTTGACACCCTCTTTAGAAACCGCAATGACAACTACAACACCACAAAATTACCAACATTTAGTATAACTCTAAAACAGAAACCGTCAAGCATTAGAAAACCCTGAAAACAATAACAAAAGTATATACCAGTGTCACCAATGCTACTTAGATCTTTGCAAATCCTAGCAAACTCAGCAGATGGCATCCTAACAATGGCATGATATTCAGCCTCAGGGATACCAAGATGTTCACTATCAATGTCCATCAGCTTCATCTCAAAATCAGAAATCTTATCTTGGGCTTCATCACATAATCCAAACAACCAAGTCAGAATAACATTAACCACAATAGCTAACAAATTAGTCATAAGTAACCTACACATATATGTCACTAAAACATGAGCAGACCATAAACTAATCATAAAGAACAGAACAACAAAACCCTGAAATTGTCCAAATGCAGAACAGATAGGCATGCAACATTTGCCATAGGAACTACCAGAACTAACTAATAGATCATGAGTGACACTACCAAAGTTATGATATAAAAACATGAAGGAGCACACAAATTGACAAAAGTAATCACTAGACCAAAAAAATGCAATTCATAGTTCAGTTAATTGACACGGGAACTGCAAAAACTAACTAATAAATCATGAGTGACACCTTCAAAGTTATTACTTATGATACAAATTTTACAAAAACAAATCATAAAACCCCTAGAGCTTTCCAATTCATATATCAATTAAGCATACAACATGTATACTAGTACATATTTAAACATAAAAAATATCATAGTAGTGGCTACATGTATCATTTTAGAAAGGGAGAAAAGAGGCCAAGTAAGCATCAAACATTAACTCTCAATACTCAACACCTACACATTCTCTACATATTTAAAATGGACAACGGGAAAAAACCAGATACTCAATCAAAGAAAACAGTCCAACACATAATCAAGTTTTAACACAAAAACCTAAACCCTGAACAAAACTAACTTTGGAAGCAAAAACAACAGGCATTAAAATTCAAAACTTAACACTAACACGTAATCCCTAGTTTTCAACTGGAAATCAAACAAAAATCAAATACTCAAACAGTGAAGACAAACACAAGCCAAATCAACATTGAACAAAAAAAACCTAAACCCTAAATAACACTAACATCAGAAGCAAAAATAAATAAATTAAAACAAAAATAAAGAAGAGCTGGTGAGAATAAACATACTAGGGCTTTCAAACATGAAGGTAACGGTGTCACTGCCATCATCAGCCTTGATGGTAATGATATCATCATTCCCAGCACACTTCAGCATCTTAGCCATGTTGTTGAGATTCATCCCCATGGAGAGGTTCCTATCACATCGATAATGCTCAAACCCCTCCGATCTGAGAAGAAGCGCCACCAGAGCAACATGGCTGGAATCCATAGCTTGAAGAGAGAAACCAGTAGACGAACAGTCGAAGTTCGCATCGTTCACCAGCTCCTTGATCGATTCGAGAACCTTCTTGAGCAGTGAACCTTGGACAAGACGGAGTTCCAACATCTTGACGGTGGATCTGAAGAATTAGGGTTTTGACTGTTAGGGTTTTGAAGGAAAATGAGAGGGAAATGAGAGATCGTAGGTTGGAGGAGAGGGAAAGGGTTTATATAGTGGAAAGTTCTAGAGCCTAAGGCGGGATAGGATGAAATAATTGATTTCCCGCTTATATTTTACCCAATTTGTGGAGGGAACTTTATCATTTTATTTTTCTTTTTCTTTCCTTCTATTTCTACAAACTAATACTTTCACCCCCGTAAAATTTATTTAATAAATTATAGATAGATATGTATGTGACAAATTTAGGATTTTTTGATGATTGAATAGTTGAATTATATAAATATTAGTGATAGAGTAATGAGTTGAAATAATTAATATTAAATATTAATTAATATATTAAATAATATTGTTAGAAAGAGAAAAGAAAATAATGTAATTAAAAAATATTTAAATGGGATTTTATTTAAAAATTAGTGCCTAAATATGTGTTCTGTTTTAATATATTAAGGAATTGATGAAGTGTGTTAAGAAAGGAAAAAAAGAAGTGTATGAGAAGTTTCTTTGACTTTATTTAAATTAGAATTATAAGTATGTTGGAAAATAAAAACCTTTAAATTTGTTAGTGAGTGTAGTTGTACTTCTTGAATTTATTAAAATTTTAAATATATTTTAAATGTTCATTAATAAATTTTCATTTTCATTTGTAATTTTACTATCAAAAATGTATTTAAGGACTATAACATGTTTGATATTTAAAACGATTTATTAAACACGTGAAAAGGAATTTTTAATTCTAATATAATTAAGAACTATAAATAACAATGTGCGCCATTTTTTAAAATTAAAATCGACCCAAAAAAAGTTATAAGTGAGCCGATTGTTTTAGATCTCATTTTTTTAATTTCAAAATTATGTCAATATTTGAGAGGAAATTTAGTTATTTTGTGAGTCTTTGCTAATTTGGATTTCAATAAATAACTAATTTATATAGACGTTATTGAAAGGCCTAGTTATGTTTTTTCTATGAATATATAGCCCGTTTGATTTTGGTGTTGGAAATCATAGAATTACGGTGAATTATCACGTCTACTCAAAAATTATATTTTGTAGCTTCTAAAAGTCACATTAGGATGGCATATGAAACATGTGTTTCGTGATTGAGAAGTCAATCCAAACAGATCAATAGACTATGAAAAAATGCTAAAATTCGGCCACTTGTGTAATTTCATATGTCACTCTAGTAAGAGAGTCAATCAAAGACATCAAACGGTAGAAATGCAAAAAAAATTGAAATTGTCATTAGTAATGTTCTCGAGTCCATGACATCCAATGGAAATGGTGTTGTTGATCCTCTACGTGCAATGTAACACCCTATTTTCCCCATCGTATATTTAATAAAATCAGAGTAATTTAAAGTTCTTCAATCAACACCAAAATTGTATGTCACATTTCATCATCTCAAAAATTGCTCCATCATTTAGTAAATAGATACATAACACAACTATTTCGGATGAACCGATAGCATTTCAACATAATCTTCAAACTTCAACCTTATTAATGCAACAGAAAGAAATTCATAAATTATTTTCAACATCTTCAACTCATCTCAAAACAACATTTCTAATCAAATAAAATATAGTCTATAGTACTCCCACAATACTCCAAAATAAAAACATCTATTAAATAAACAAGTAAACCTTCATCCCCTATGTGTTACGTATAAGAGCAACGACACCAACTCAAAGTAAGAAGAGCAACCTCTCCTAGACTCCACGACTCTGCACTACTTCTGGTTATCTGTATATTACCCACATAGAGGCAAAATTCAAACAGTAAGAGTGAGATATCATTACAATATAATAAGTCATATAATCATGAGTGAACAACATGTATATTATGCAAGATTTCAAGTTCCATAATCATTAGTTATAGTTCATAACGATTAAACTGATACATACTTAATCCCCATCACTCATCATATGACATAAATCAAACATACAACTCAATCACACTCAACAATCAAACCAATCACTTCTTATTCATCAACAACATCATAATTATCCATACTCCACGCATTAACACCAATACACATTACAGTTTCAACAATCACATCCAACAATCAATTAAATCACATCTTATTCATCAACAGCATTATAAATGCAATAAGATCAACTTCTCTAATTATATGTATGTGGTACCATAACAACGTCTCTTTGTCATTAAGGCTACACCGTCACTTGTCGTTAAAGTTACATCGTCACTTATGAACATGCATGCAACACTAACATGTTATGATAACAAATGCAACGGCATAACAACATCAACAAACCAAGCTAATACAACTTGTTAATCACACATTGTTGTTCATACATCATCGCACAACTCAACATCATCATCGTATTAATAATTCAACAATATGCAATTCAGTTGGCACTGATGCAAGATGCATGTGGTACCATCAGGGTAAAACCCTCATCATAATAATGCCAACTTAGAGCAGCAACATCATAACACCAATACAGGTCATCGCTCGCCAATACAGGCAATCGCTCGCCAAGAAATAGCACCTCCTCAAACCATAATGTACACCTTGGCAACTTAGCATAAAGTTTCCTCCCTCTCGACACTGAAATTCAAATTGCAACGTTCAACATACCTATATTCTGACTTAGATATTTCCTCAATAAACACCGTAACAAACTTATCAAATATTCATAATGCCATCACCGAGTTCTAAAAGATATTATCTAATTATCCCCACCATTCACCTGAATCTGAAGGTAGTCCAACCTGAATTCGATTAGACTGGAGACATACTCTTCTATTAGTTGGTCCATCAAATATTCAATCCCTCTGCAGTGGACATTTAATCTCGATTGTTACAGAAGTTAATTGTCGGTAATCTATGCATAATCTCGTAGTACCTATTTTATTCTTAACTAATAACATCGGAGCTCTCCAAGTGGTACACTCAGTCTCACAAATTTATTTATTTTTAAATATTCTAATCATTTCTTCAATTCGTCCAACTCTGAAGCAGACATCTTGTATGGTGCCATAGAAACAAGTCAGGTATCCAGGACAAGATCATTAGCAAACTCCACCTCTCATCCAACACCACCACGTGACCATTAAATCATTCACATGTAATGGAACCATTTTCAAAACAAGGTTCATTATGTTAGCTTTCAAACGCTTCGAACGGAACTCAAATCGAACATCTAGAACTCAAGTTATGAATTTTTGAAGTTTTTACAAAAATGTTGTTCAACACTGTGCAATCGATTTGTACCAAAATATCAATCAATTACACTCTGTACAAAAGCAGTTTTCCATAAATTTCTGTGTATAAAACCCATTCCAATACACTTCTAAAACCTCATTCTTCTTATAACTCGAGAGACACATTAATTTGCTAAAAACTCCATTTTCCAAAACACCAATGCTCCAGTCCTTTCTACAAACCTACTCATATCTTCGAGTTCCGAATCTGACTCGCGATTCACAAATACCTTAACAATATCAACGATAATCAACAATCACATACATGATTCCAACATAAAATTCACAACAATTTATCACTCCAGCATTACTAAGGACAACTACAACACACACAATGGTAACTCAATACTGACAACTTCATGATCAACATGCACTGTTGAAACATTATGACCATTTGAGCTTCACCTTCTAAGAGTTATCCTACTTGTTTAACAAATATCTTCCAGCATAAGAATATGTATCGACTTATCAAAATAATTCGCAGTCCCTTGGTTTAACTCCAACCATTCAACCCCAAGGATAACATTAAGTCAATCCAACATCTGGCTCTAACAACGAGTCGCAATTATCTCCGGAAAATCATTAAGACTCACCCATAACTAGCACATCATTAGCCGTAACATCGCTCTCCACTTCTAGAGATGCAAACAACATAGGTACCTGATTATTCTCTCTCAAGGAAACTTCGAATAACCACTAGATATAAATCCTGAATTCATTACTTCCTTTAAAATCAGAAAAATAACGCTCTCTCACCAACATTTACACTTATGAAAATCACGACACACTGAATCAACTATTCACACATGTCGCGTACTAAGGAACAACACGTCGAAAGTATTCAACTGTCACACTACACTGACTCGACAACTTGGCCGGACGGACCGACCTGCTCTGATACCAATTGTAACACCCTATTTTCCCCATCATATATTAATAAAATCAGAGTAATTTAAAATTTTCCAATCAACGTCAAAATAGGATGTCACATTTCATCATCTCAAAAATTGCTCCATCATTTAGTAAATAAATACATAACAACTATTTCGGATGAACCGACATCATTTTAACATAATCTTCAAACTTCAACTTTATTAATGCAACGGAAATAAATTCATAAATTGTTTTCAACATCTTCAACTCATTTCAAAATAATATTTTAAATAAAATAAAATAGAATTTATAGTACTTCCACAATACTCCAAAATAAAAACATAAATTAAATAAACAAGCAAACATTCACCCCACTTGTGTTACGTATCAGAGTAATGATACCAACTCAAAGTAAGAAGAGCAACCTCTCTTAGACTCCATGACTTCGCACTACTTTTGGTTATCTGTATGTTACCCATATATAGGAAACATTCAAATAGTAAGGGTGAGATATCATGACAATATAATAAGCCATATAATCATGAGTGGACAACATGTATATCATGCAAGATTTCAAGATCCACAATCATCAGTTATAGTTCATAACGATTAAACTGATACATACTTAATCCTCATCACCCATCATACGACATAAATCAAACATACAACTCAATCACACCCAACAATCAAACCGATTAATTCTTATTCATCAGCAACATCATAATTATCCATACATCATGCATCAATGCCAATACACGTCACATTTTCAACAATCACATCCAACAATCAATTAAATCACATCTTATTCATCAACAACATTATAAATGCAATTAGACCAACTTCGCTGATTA